CACGCACGCACGCACGCACGCACTGATTCAATGGGAAAGTCTGACCCAGTTTCCTTTCTTTGGTGTGCATTGACCGAAGATTGACTGTGGCATCTGTCGAGGATTCGCTGGACAGCTTGCAAAAGACTGACTAGCCCAGGCTCGACAGAATCCTCGAGAATCCTCTGAAGCCCACACCTGGTCTCCAAGATGTTTCGTAGCAATGCCAGGGCGACCTCCCATTCGCACCTCGGGCTGCAAATAATGTCAACACCATATGAGCAAGTATGAGACAGATGAATACATGCAAAAAACAGGTAAATAAAGATTTAAGCACCGGTAGATTCTTGAGTACAGACGCGAGTACGAGTGCAAGAAGGATATTGAATCAAGTAGCCGTACAAAGTATAAGTACAGCATCAGGTATAAGTACAAGCATACATAAATTACTTCAGAAGCATAAGGCCAACAAGTAATCATAAGAGTAGTGTTCGTATCATATAAATATATTCGTGTCAGTAACAGGTATAGTATTGGTGATCAAACTAGTATGAGTACTTAGTGTTTGTATGAGGACTACCAATGAGAGTGGAGGTGCTCCATAATGTCACAACCTGATACAAACAATTCGAACCCCCCAAACAGCACTGCAAGCCGAAGAACGCGTTTGCAGCTGCGAAGATGCCGGCGCTGAGACAGAGCTGATTCGGCTCCACGGCTGCCTACGCATCAAGGCACAAAATCACCCCATCTCCGTCCATCTCTTGCCTGCCAAAACTTTGCGGCCACGAAAAGCCTGGCCTGCGGCATAGATGCCAGGAGGACCAGAGCTCTCTGCCACTGACCGGCCTCTCGGGGATCCGTTTGAAACGATTGGTAAAGTGAGCAACATGGCTTCCTAGGGTGCTCGGGGAGGCTTCATGTTGGCTTCATGGTGGTTTGGCCTTTTACCGTGTCATCCGTGAGCGGGGGATTTTGATGTGGTGGCTTTGATCGAACGTCGTCGCGACACAGTCGAGGTCTTGTACTGTGGCTGGGCGCGATATGATTGGGGGCGACAAAACGGGAAGGTCGTCTGAGGATGAAAGAAAGTAGTCGAATACACTATAGAGATCCTGAAGTAACTCTCTCGTCTCAAAGTCATGTAGACTTCTGCTGGATCGCAGATCGAGCTCCATGTCGGCGCTTGGATGGATGTTGTTTGAACCGCTGCTGTTACCGTTGGGAAGGTTGCTTGAATTGCAGCATTCCTTGCCAGAAACCTCTCTCGAGTGGATCGCCCACCTAAACGAATACTGTTACCGTATACATTGCCTGGCCTTCACAATCTGGACACTGTGCACCATTTGGGAAACTCACGGCGACTTTCTTGTCTACGCTGGAGCATCCAGGCAACCCGGAATTAGATCAGATAGACGGGAAACGTCGGTTTCACCTTCCCTGGAAGCTGAAAGTCACGGGTTGGGCATGCTTGAGGTTGAGGGTTGCAGCTGCGAGGAACTTGTATGCAACTGAGACGCTTGTCCGCAGGATGTGATGGCCTTGGTTGGCTTGATATGTATGCGGCATGCGTGGCAACGACCAATAAGCATTTTCTGTCCGCTGCGACTACCGTCATCGGCAAGCCCAGTCTCATCATCGTCGTCATCTTCATTATCATCACCGAAATCGACGCCAAGTGCTTTACGTAATAGCATCAACTCAAAAGTATCGTTGTCTTCTTCCGCGTCGTCTCGTGCGCGTCGTGCCAGCACTTCCGTCGTGGTTTACCATGCATGTCACAGTGCTGATGCAACCATGGCTCCAAGATCATCATCAATGACTTCTTCTGCATAAGAATCCAGGCAACTTGGATAATGGCGACTACAGGTGCAAACAGGTGCAGCCGAGCTTCAGAGCTGAAGGAAATGGCATCAGCCCGCACCAGCTCTCCTCGGCACCAGTGGCGAATCAAAAGGACTTAGACTAGAACAAAACACATTTATAATGACTGCGACGGGATGGAAAAAGTCACAAGTGCAGCAAAACCCGCAAAATGGTGATCAAATCCGTAGATTTCGGGCAGTTCAGCTCCAGCGTCCGGGTAGTTGTTCCAGGAGCTGCAGTGCCAAGCGCCACTCACCGACCTCAGAGCAAGGTGCAAGCTCCGGTCTTATAAGAGGCATTACGGGGCATCTTCGGGAAATCGCTCGCTCCAGGACACGGCCAACATGCTCAAGAAGCGCTGAGAGGTCAGCATCTGCGCAGCTGCTGATTGCGGAGTTGTAGCCTCGGTAACACACTGCATGAGACAAGGCGGAGGCCATCAAGCTCAAGTTGGTCAACATGGAAACCAGAAATCCTAACATGGAAACCCAAAAGGCTCCGAATGAATCCCCAGCCTTGTTAACACAACTCAGTACACATGGCACCATCTTTCAGCTTACTGAGCGGTGCGGTCGTTCGTCAAGGACTTGCTGCTACTCACCATCTGATCCTCCCTATAGGCCTGTGCGAACAACTCTGTGCGGCCACGAGGTGCCCTGAGAGGTTTGACAGTTGCAGTTGAAGGTTGGGTTGATGCAAGTTCGGCGGGGGGGTCTTGGACCAGCATCACTGGCATCGTAGTCGTAAAGTCGAGCGGCTGACATCGTTGGGTGTCACCAGCGCGCCTTTCATGTCTCCCAGAAGCGAGACCGCGTGTTCCCACATGCCTGCAATTCACGGGTTGAAACTGTTGTGATAAACCCTCCTGAGCCTTCAACCTCTGTAATTTGTATTCAATTTGTTAGACCTTGCTGTTCAATGCCTTTACGCCTGCAAGTCTTTACACACGACTTATGCCCCATCGAACACAGACCCCTCATGGCTGAAAGCTTCGTGCTTAGGCTGGCAGTGGCACGCGTCTCAAGCAGTGCTCCGCGCCTGCTTTGGCACATGCACCCAGTGCCGCACCTGATGCTTTCACTGATCGAGAGCAGAACCAGGGGTCAAGACGCTTTTATTTCACGTTTCCGATGCAGGCTTCGCATCAAGCGCAGCAATTCAGCTGGTTTCTGCTACAAGTTCAAGCGATCGGCGAGTGCAGCAATGTACACTAGCCATATAGACCACAATAGGCGTATGAGAATTGGCGTCAAATAGACACCAACTTGTTTGGAACACAGAACCCTCCAATGCACAATCCTCAGGAGTCACAACTAGACAAGACGCGGATGCCTTCCTTGAAATTTTAGGATCAAGAGAGGCCAAACGGAACAAAAAACGCAAGGGGACAGAGGAAGCCACGTACACCGCCTATGCCATGATGTCCGAGTCGCTGAAGCTGTAGACATCTGGAAGCACCTAATGCAGTCGCTAAGCTTGGCTTGGAATCACGTTCCGTCGTACTTCGTGCTTCACGTTTACGACACAGACACTGCAATTTAGGCCGTAACGACGAGGCATCCACTCGCAGTCGTTGTCATAGCACTCGTCCTAATAATGGTAAAAGTAGTAGTAGTAGTAGTAGTAGTAGTTGTTGTTGTTGTTGTTGCTGTTGTTGTGGTGGTGGTGGTGGTGCATTGTTGGTGCTAGTGCCAGTGGTCGGGGTAGCGATGGCGATAGCGACAGCGA